GCGCACGCACACACCTATTATTACTGTTCTCCATCCTACCTTCCCAATCTCTTTCTCTCTCACCCAACAACTCACCTTTATTAACCACTTACAAGCCCGCACTTATTATAAACTATCCCCTACTCTCTATCTCTCCCTTCTCTCACCTCTGCCTCTCTCACCTCACCGCACTTTTCTCTCTATCACCCTCAATCACCCTGTGACCCCCCCCCCCCACGCTTTCATCCAAAACACGTTCCCTGCATTCTGTTCCGCCTCTCTCTCCATTTTGTCTTTATTCTCACGCTAATACCCCCTTCAGACCCTCTTTGTGTCTTAATTCTCCTTCTACAACCCGATTTCAGTATGTTTTTCCTATCTCTCCCATTTATGACTGACTAGAGCACACACATATTCTCTCTTTTCGTCTAATACTTTCATCTCTTATCTTATTCCCTTATGGTAATCATCTAAATTTCACTCTCCTGTACGTACTTTGCATAATAGCTCTTCCTCTCACTTGACTCGCCATTCCCGTACCTATTTACTTATTCTTCCACGGCTTCTGCCACTTTCCTTCACTCACAGTCCTAATCAGACCTTCTAGTAACCAATATCTTTCATTTGCTCTCCTATTCATTTAAGAACCTATCTCCTCCTCTAATTCCCTACACTGTCCCTATGACACCGTAGAAATTCAAATGCTAGATGTCATTTCAATGTTTCCAATGTATGAGTTTACATTATAAATTTACCATTTCTATGTTTGAAATTCAAATTAACCATACCTCCGGTCTCCATCGTCCTCCACACTGCCATAGCTCACTCAGTCATCCTAATTGTCTCCTCCTTCTCCAGCTCCCTCTCATGTCCTCGACCGACTCCTCCTTTCCTCTCTTTTTGTCTCTTCGTTCTTCGGCTCTCTCCCTCTCTCTCTCTCTCTCTCTCTCTCTCTCTCTCTCTCTCTCTCTCTCTCTCGAATCTTCTATCGACAATCTCTTCTCTTCCCTTTATGTTTTCCCTTTGTCCTCTCTTTCTTTCTATTTTATTTTATTTTTTTCATCATATTTATACCCCACTTGCTAATCATCCTAGCCGTCCATTCCTATCTCACAATCTACACCGTTCATTCTCACTCCTCTCCCTCTTTTATACATATATATATATCCTTATTATTATTATTATTGTTATCATTCTTTTTTTTACAACCCAAAAACCAGTTATTACAATATATATATCACTTTAATATATTTATGAAAGTTGATTTTATACATGAATATTATTTTTATTTAAATTTGATTACCGATATGATATCAAGTTAATATAAATATATAGATGATGTCGTGAGACATTTGATGACAATATCTGTGAATTATTTATATATGAATTATATATATTTTTAAAATTTAATCATTAATAAAATATCAAACTAGCATAAATATTCAGGTGATAACATCATATTATATTTAACGATAATTACAGTTAACAGTATATATAATACATGTTATTTAATTGTTGGTAATATAATAATTTATTATAATACACTGATATGTTTAGATTTTAAAATAATTCATAAAAATAACATACGAACAAAATTGACAATCGTGTAACAATATTCGACACATACATGAAAAATATAGAAATAACTGATAATTAATATACTGTACGAGAGACTTACTAGCAATAAACAAAATATTCTAAAAACTCACATGAATTTTTACTATGAAACAGACAATCGACTAATTAGAAATATATAGAAATGATTAGTAATATTTACATACGTTACACGATAAATATTAATTGAGATTATTTATATGATGTTTAATGTAAGTTAAGATAGTAAAATATTTTAAATAATTTAATGTAAGTAAATTATAATTTTTTTTTTAAATAATAATAATAATTATTATTATTGACATGGTTAAAGTTTATCTGAAATGGGGAGATTATATAAAATCTAGAAGGTAGACGTCACGTTTTTCATTTGGATTATGCATTTTTATCTTCACAATCCCTAGTATTGAATTTACCATATACTTTCCATATAATTTATTTAGAAATTCAAGTATTTTACCAAAAGAGCCTTATTAATTTCCTTTTTTTTTTTTTTTTTTTTTTTGGGCTACAGACATTTATGATTTTTACAAACACGAACATGCATTTTTGAAATTTACTCCATAATATATATGGCGTGTACACCCATGTGAAAATACCAAATACCCATTTCCATATATTGGATTTAAATATATACAATTATTTCCCATAAATAGTTATAATAACGTTGTTGTGATATATTTTATACATTAAAGTAAATGTAAATTGAAAAATAATTGGAGGGCATTTATGGGAATTTGGAAAAAAAGAGAGATATGATATCATGGGTAATGGGTCTGCCCTTGACAATACTATCATCTTTTGGGACGTTGTGAAGAAGGTCCAAAAAGGTAGAGCACAGTGCAAAACGACGATTCAGAGAAACAACAACTGCATTCTCTCTCTCTCTGTGAGTCTGTGTCCATTCTACAATATCATTATACGTATATTTATACTGTATGATATATAATAATGAATAAGAAAATAAAAGAAAAATTTTCATCCGTTGTGTAATTTTCCTTCTCTCTCAAATTGTAGTCTTTGCTTTTTTATATATTCTCTTTCTGCCTCTCTACATAATATATATTTGTCTCTCTCAGTGTTATACTGGTTGATCTTGAGGTGGGTTTGCTCTTCGCGTCAATGGAACGGGTTTAGATAAGTCGAGGTAAGGTGTTTCTGATCGACTGTGTTATTATGGGTAGTCTTCAAAATTTTCATTTCGTTTTCTTTTTTCGCTTATCAAAAGGGAAGAGGATTATCATCGGATCATTGACGAGAAAAAAAAAAAAATTAAAAGGTTTGACAGAAAAATCTGAAACCGGGACATTTTTGGTGCGAGATTCTGCGTTGATCATGGCGGTCGCTGAGAATGCTGGGGCTAAAATCGGTTCTTCGAGTCAAAATTTGGACAACACTGTAGTGTCATCAGACTCGAAAGCACCACCATCGACTGATCTCGAGAAATCAAAACCCAGGACTGATTCCGTCACCAAGAGTAAAGAATCGAGTTTCCCGACCCAAAACAATGATCAGACTGTGGACCCGAAGTACCAGAACCAGACCACTTTTGCAGTCCACACAAGCAATGGCAAAACTCAAGTGGGTCAGATGGAAAACGGCGGGGTTGATAGCAATGGAGTCAACAGTCAGCAGTTGTGCCGAGGACTGTTTCGGCTTGTGGGCATGGGCCAAATGTGACGATGAACGCGGAAAATGACA